ACCGTCTTTTCCTTCCGTAAGTATGTTTTGGTAACTAGTTTTGCCTTGTGCTGCTGGCTGCTCGTGATGGCTCAACCAGGTCTGGGCTTGTCGACTCTTCCGGTGCACACCTGTGCGGTGCCGAAAGCCGAATTTAATTTGGCAGGCTATCGTTTGTTTGGAAGAGTTCCCATGAAACAACAAGAATACTAACTTATTTTGTTCCACTCTTTTCGGTTTCCCAAATCGTGCACATGGCCGACACGTTGTGTCAGTTCTACAAAAGCCCTATGATACCGACCCGGGTTTTATCCAAGCGCACTTCATGTCTGGGTTCCTAGATGTTTAGATACATATGCACCGTACATCCGCATATACCCGAAAGAAGCTCCTACAGGAGTCTGACGAGTTTAGTCGTAATGTGAAGGTCCAAGGGTGGTGGCTGCGTGTAGGGTGTTCAGTGTACAGGATGGCAGTGCCTAGTAAGTTCTGCAGTCATTCCCCGCATATCTCCTCTGCAAATCAAGCTGCGCAGGTCTAAAAAGGTCGATGAATGAAGCACTAATGACATTACTTGGGCATAATGTCTGTATATAGCAGCATAAATGGGGCAAGGATAGACCCTTAAGAATACATGGTACTTTCTGAGCCAAGAGTCTCTTCAGTAGCTGGCAGAGAGACGGGCATAATCCAGGTGCTCTGCGGGTCATTTTGTTGGAAGATGCGCAGCCCATTGGCGAGCGTTCCTTCCTTCGCAGACGTCAAGGTTTTGAGGTTTTGGGTATAGAACCTTGGGGCTGGATAGTCAGTGGGCTTTCAGTCGTTGGCCGAAGTGTGGTTTGACTTTTGCCGGGGTTTAGCACACAATCTTTCGGGTAGAGTTTGCGGCCTGTGGAACCCAAAATACCATGTGCATCCATCTTGAGCTGTGAAGGCCTTGAAGAATTCAATTTCAAGCTCTCACATGCCCTTACAGCCTCAGCTTTCCATCTGAACAACTGGAAGAAGGGATGTGATCCCTTTGCAGCTATGCCTGTTTAACCTGGGCCCGTGGCGACACAGCAGTCCTTCTCAGCATCTACTATTTACAAAGGCCTGTAACAATGGCCAAAAACAGAACCCTCAAAAACCCATCTTCATTTGCCCCAAAGCAAGCCTGTGTCTTTCAAGTGGCCCTCGTTGTCCCAGCACCTCCTACGACATGCTGGCCATCTTCCCTGAGTTTTGATGAAGGTTCCCGTTTGGATTTCCTTGTTCGAATCCATCATGACTAAGACGCCGTCCTGCTGCCGCATCCTCGCACACTGAATCCCCTGAGCCTGCACCCGGAACCTAAAATCGTAAACCCAGAGGAGTCTCCCGCCATCCCGGCTGCAACGTCAGCTGCAACTTCATGGCTCCATGCGCAGCTTGCACCACAGCTGCCTCCAGGGCGACTTAAGATCTCAATAGGAGTTGAGAATTTTGTGGAGTTTGGTGTTTGGGCCCTGCGGCTTGGGCGCAATGATCCAGGATTGGGGCTCAGGACCTGCAAGCGAGTTCAAACTCTCCTTTCGTGATGACCTCGATAAAGGGGCCCAGGCAGTCTGGTTAAATTGTTCGTCAGCTCTAATTACGAGATCAGCTCTAAGGAATCAAAAATTCGCAGTTCTGAACTGCATTGGCTTCTCAATGGACAGGAGCCTGAGAGCTGGGAATGAGCCTGAGTAATTCACGTGTACGGCCTGCGGGCTTGGGGTTTAGAACTCAGGACTCAACCTTCCAGAGTTCCAGAGCTTCAGGTCCGGGGCTTCGGGCACAGGCTTCGGGTTCAGCGGCAAAATGGTCTTACTGCTTGTCAGCTTCTGTGTCGAGAGCTGCGGTTTGGGCTACCTCCACCGCATTGCCTCAAGATCTCGGAGAGTGGATTCGTGCGCATCTTCATCCAACACCCGTGCAACTTTCTTGATGGCCCAGGCCTTGTCTTCGCAGGTCTGGGACTGAGATGGACTGAGGGCGTGCACTTCTAGACCAAGGACTATAGACTTTAGTGCCCAAGGTTTGGGGTCAGGAATCTGGAAAATAATCAGGATGGCACGCTCTTACAAGAGCTCATCAGAGCTCAAGCTCTAAGGTCACATAGACTTCGAACAGACAAAAACAGCAGCACGATCATAGTCCAGAGGCTGCGTTTCTGTGAACCAGCCCATCAGAAACAGCAAACCTTTACTGTCCTTTCTGAAAAACAAATTGCCACGGGTGTGCAACCGAGCTGCCCACGATTGGATGCCAGCTTGAAGCTGAGCACAACATCAACAACAAGAGGGCAATAGTAAAGGCAAATGGCGGAAGTGGAAGGGTCTCGGTAAGTCACAACTATGCCAAATCGGAAAAATAGTCTTCCCTTCTGCATTTGAGGAACATCGTCACTCTTCTCAGCAGGCAAGAGGTGCTGGAAAACTTGCAGTCCTCGGACAAAAGGACTTCTTGGTTTACGAGGTAAACGCTAAGCTGGCCTTCTAGGGGACTTTCGACTTTGATTGTAATCGTTTCCGGTTGAGGGTGTAGCGTGAAGCAAACCAGACGCAAGGCAAAATAAAAAAGTACAAATCCTCTGGGTCCCAGTGTCTGCCAAAGCGATCTTGAAGGAACTGTTGCTTGTCGCAGGCTCGCTGACGCAGCTCGGGAGCTTGCTCCTGTCTGGCATGTCCAGGTAGCGCACAGGCCGATCTGCATAAGGTTCATGGGGTTCTGGTATGTTGCTGCCCTCAGAGCCTGACTGAGCTTACAAACTACAAGGAACCGCAAATACGCAAAGTCCCGGACGCGGAGAAAAATCGCATGAAAGTGCACGAGGGCCTCGGTCATAGGCTGCTGAACTACAGGGCTCCTTACAGCCTGGATGTCATGAAACGCTTCACGCTTCAAAGAAGTCAGTTTTTTGTTTCTGTCGCCAACACCATGGCCTCTCGACTTGAAGCAGCCCAACAAGTGTCCCAAAATCATGAGCTGCCGTCAAACCATCTAGGAGCAGTGGACTTCACAATGGTGACTCTGAATCCGACCTCGTCAACCTGAAATCCTAAGGACATGTAGTGGTTGAAGTCTTTTATGGATGATCTGGTGTCATCCTGAAAAGCCACCAGCCTGGCCCTAACTCACAGAATCCCTACGTCCAAAGCTCTGAACCCTATCAGCCGTAATCTCCATGGAGCTAATACACTCAATTTGAATAGATGCTTCAGCCCTGCACCTTAATCCCACAAATCCTGGACCCTACTCCATATGAGCCATAGGCTAAAGTGCGAGCATTCCCCTTAATATCCCCTATAGTAGCCCCCTATACAATCCGCTATACAACGCCCTTTCAGGAGTTTAGACTACAGCTCATATTGTTTTTCTACATTAAAGAGAGGCTCCAGCCAGCCACGAAGGTCCCCAATCTCCTGGAGATCTTGATGTGCAGTGGTTGTGTCCCTTCTTGGTTACTCCAAAAGCGAACCTAGGGAGTTGCAGAATACGTGGGGTTCTGCGATGGGATTTTCTCAGCTTGGGGGCCCAAAAGGGCATGTTCGAGAAACCTGGCATGTACTTTGGAGGTACCCTCGTACCTAGAACTAAAATGCCAAATAGACGTTGACTTGAGGATGACCATTTACGGGCTTCAGCATTGGCGCTGAAGGTTCGAGTTGTAGGATTGAACAATGACTCGGGATTGGGGTTTGGGCTATCACAACCAGAGGCAAGCATTCCGGATTTAGACTGGTTTCTTGGCGCCTGTTTTGGGGTCAACATGCGGACAGTTTGGGAATCAAACAGGCAGGAATCGAAAGGGTCCGTATAATGGAAGCCAGGCATGTTCGAGGCATCCTACATAGCCTAGGGCTTCGGAAGCACATAAATATGCTGGCGCTCCAAACACATAAGGGCCTTGGGAATTCTGAGGATGAGGTGCTTGGATTGTGGGATTGGAGGGTTTCAGGGTCTTGGTAGGGATTAGAAAGAGTTTAGGGTATATGGCTTGGGACGAGGGGTTCACCTCGGGAGTGGAATGGTGGCTTGGGATCTTGAGTGGCAATTTGCGGCGCATGTCATGAAGACTTTCGTCCGAAGCTCCTGAAAAGCCATCCGTTGTGGGACGGATCAGTTGTTTTCGTAAAACGGAAAGCAATTCTGCAATCGTTACACATTAAGTTGTAAGTCCAAATCTTCATCCTACTTTCCATTGAAATTCCTACGGCTAACTTCGCAGCCCACAGCCCATATATATATATATATGTATATCTACAGTTGCCGGGCATCTTGTTCTCGAAGTTAGGGTCTGGCTTCTGCGGACAACAAATGACACCTGAAAACCGTCCCCCACTACGGATATCTCAAGCTCCCAGGCCTCCAGAACATTGTTCAGCTGGCAGCACCACTCCCAGAAGGTTTGTTCCTGGTAGTGAGGGATTTTCTTTGCAATTGTAGATTTTCTTAGCTATCCACTTTTGGAACGGGAGATGCCCGCGATTACCGAGGAACTGGCCGGGCCCAGGGCTGAAAGTTCATGGCGGTGGAGTTAAGAATTCCGGCTTTGCAGTGCGCTCAGATCTTTGTGTTGGGTGAGAAAGTATGCGGACACCTCGCACTCGTAGCACCCACGATGGGCTGCACAAATGAAGTCGTGTGATGAACAGTGTGGCGAAGGTGCTGCATGCAGTTGCATGACAAAAGCTTCTCCAGTCTGCGATGCAGAAGCCTTTCAGAAGCTCGGTGTTCTTAGGATTTCTTAGGTATACCTGCTGAACAATCGTATTCAACTGTCCGAGGTAAGACGTTTTTGGATCTGCTAAAGAGAGGCTTCCCCGAAAACAGTTGCAAAAGATGCTGGCTGAATATGCACCGTGCGCTCGGTATTCAGATGTTGAAGCTTTCCATTGCCACAGTGTCAGCAATTGTGCCAGTACTAGTGCTCCCACAGCCCTGGTATATCCGCTCCTACCAACGTCTTCACTGCAAGCTGTTTCGACAATGCCACCTCAACTTTGCTCGTGTAGGATGCGTTGGGGCAAGTAAGACATTTAGGAAGGCCAACTGGAGCAGTGAGTGGAAATGCTGACAAGCCTTCAACGACTCTTTGGACAACAGGCCCTCAGGCCAGTCGCCTTGCTGCCTGGCCTGCCAATTTCACATTTTAGAGCCTGGCACGTGGAACTTGTCGATCCTGTAGATCCATGAATCTCGAACCCAGAAACATCCTCATCGCTACTGTACACACCTAAGCCGCATGTTCGTCAACAACTTCTCTGAACTCTGTCTGGACTCCGAGCCTTGAAACCCTCTGTAAATCGTCAACTCTCAAGCCCAAGCTTCTAAGGAGGTGTACCTTCGAGAGACCCAATCGAAGATCTTGGCATCCAAGGATGGCTTCAAGCGCCCTTTCCTTGCAAGGGTGTCAGAGGTCCTCTAGAAAACTGTGGGGAATTCTGGCTTGGGGGACGAGGGTGTAAGGGCTTCTCTCGACTCCAGTTCGATCCTGCTTCAGGATTCTCTTCGCAGCGCTGAGAAATGTAAGACTACCCTGCTACCTTGTTGAAGTCTTCATTTAGTCTCCACAATCCAGATGGCTTCCCCCTAAACCGTACAAAGCAGTAGTGGTCTGCAAGGACAAGAAAAGCCCTGCATGAATGCATGAAGAACGGCAAGAAAGGTTACACCATGATAAGTTTGATGGCGACAACAACGGCGGCGACGACGACGACGACGAGGAGGAGGAGGACGACGACGACGAGGACGACGACGACGAGGACGACGACGACGACGACGAGGACGACGACGACGAGGACGACGACGACCACGACCGCGACCACGACCACGTCCACGACCACGACCACGACGACGACGACCACGACCACGACCACGACCATCATGCATCGAAGGTGCGCAAGTTCCAACACTCTCTGCTGTGAAGCTTGATATCGTCGAGCATTGTCTTGCGTGCTGGCAGTCATATAGCCTGGGCTTGGGGGTTTACACCTCAAGGATCTAATTGAATTTGTTGAGGCGAGGTTCTCAAAGATTCAGGGTTTCTGGTTCAAAGCTTGAGGGGGTGAGTTCCAGACGCGGGTCATCACATAATTTTCAGCGGCGGGAACGAAATCTTGGTAACGTCTTTGCTAAACAACGGACTTTCTCGCAAACTTCCCATGTGTCACATGACGAAGTTGAAGTAGACCGCACTGAGGGTCTCAGGCCTGTAACTCCAACCGAGGAATCAAGACTGAAACCTTTTGGCCGCTGCCCGCCCAACAAACAGCTCAGAGAAAAACATGGTTCGAAACAACAGGATGGCATGATCTCTCCTTCTTGCAAGCCTTGGGTTTAGGCTTCTAGGTTGCGATGCCAGGATCCCTCAGCCCACAAGACGAAAGCTAGACTCCTGCACACGAAAGGCTTCCATTCTAAGCTGAGTATTCTGGCTCCCGAAGCCCATAACCCTCAATTATAATCCTGAAGCAATGCCCAAACAAGAATAGCGTGTGGCATTTCTTAAATACCCTCCCATAATAATTTCAACCCCCCCTCCCAACAAAAGCCGAAAATTCTAAAAGATCCCGAAGGAGTACTTTTCTAAAGCGCCAAGACTACATATTCGAAGGAACCCATCAAGATCCTTCTAATAATGAATTGGGTGGGCGTTCTGACGCAATTGAGGGACTCGTTACAAGAAACAACAAAGACTTAAGGATCTCCTTAATTTCTCGTTGTTGTGTTAACTGTGTTTGTGTAGAGGATTTACACAAATCTAAAGAACACCAAATTCGATTACCTTATCTTCTGAGTTTTCCCTTGTTTTCATTTAGGTTTATATTAACAAAACTCCCCAAGACTTGGTTGGCTTTACCAGTTTAACTCGTTATCAGTAATTACATTCCAATGGAAGCATATCGAAGTTCAGGAGGTTTTACACGGGCTTGACGCAGATGTTAATCTAACT